ATGGCTTGTGGATTCATTCCGGGAGGCATGACTATCTGAAAAGTACGGTATACCTTGCTTTATTAACGTGAACTTGGTGACAGTACACTCACTCCGCTCCGTTCCCAGTCATGGAATCGCTGCACCATCATCGTGTGGATCTGGCTTCGCCAATCATACATTAGAGATATAAAGGACATTTCATCCGAAAGCGAGTAGGTGCGCGATCTGAATAATTCACTGAGCAGTATGAACCCAAAAAAAATCCTATGTCAAGCCCCAACCTCCATATCTTTATGACAGTTTTCATTTCTTGCATTATTGCGCTACAATTCTGATTTCCAACATCTAGAGCTCTTTTCAGGTCTAGAACGTCCCCAACTTCGCGAATCATTGTCATGGCCTAAACAACAAACTTTACAAATTTTACATAAGTAAATCACTCACTTGCAGAAGTTTGATATGCGCATGAGTCAATATCGGAGGTAGAACACGCCAGCCTACTACCAGTGCTTGTGTCACATCATCAACTAATTTCTTGGCTGGTACAAGCGGACCATCTTCGGGATCTCCCTGCAAGGCAAAACGTAATAGTGGCTTTCAGCAGGCGCGAAATAATTAGAGAAAAGATTGACGTACCAAAACTCCAAGCATAGCTCCATAAGTGATGCTTGGAATAACAAAGTCAGGGCGTGTACAAGCAAGAATCTGATGTTTGGGGAGCATTTAGATAGTGAAAAAATCCTTCGAGTCTTTCAGTTGAATTTTTTACAAAACAAACCTGATCACGACATTGTCGCGCAAGATACCAATCCGGAAGATGTACAGCAGATTCAAGGAGAAGCTCAGGGTTCTCGACATGAGAACTTTTAGCTATATCGCAAAGCACACGCCATCGACATAACTCTTTCGTGCATCTAAAAGTCGATTGTTGATTGAAGAAGAAAAAACACATATATCAAACACAAGCTATTATGAGTTTAGATACTGCAAAAGGCAATGATTGAATATTTTTCTATTATTCCTTATGGTGAAAAATGTTTCTTATAGTGGCCAGCACAGATAAAACTTGTGATAAATGAGAACGATATTTTGTCCAGATCAAGGGGGGCGTGACATTAGCCGCTGGTGTGAAAAAATTTTTGGCATGGTTTTTATTATATTTCACAAACTTGCGATTTTGAGAAGCAAAAAAGCTAAAAAATGTTTAGTTTCATCTTATCAAACCTGTGAAATTTTTTTGAAATTGCTTTAAAATTTGGAAACATTAGCACCCTAATGGAGCCAAATCTGATGTTGATTTTGAGCTTTATACACATTCCATTAATTAAACTTTTGAGCAGCATCAGATAAATGAACAAGCCACCCAATGGAGAAATATTTTTGAAAAACCTTTTTAGCTCAAAATCTTCTTGCAATTTTCCGCACAAAACTGGATGACTTACTGAATATATGACTCCTCCAGAAAATCGTACTCCTTAGAAGCAGGTTGGCCAGATGGGATCTTACCAAACTGACTCTCCATCTTATGCAGTATCGAACTAGCTGAAGCTTGGCTGAGTTCTAAGGCATCTTCGACATCCCCCTAAAGTCAAAAAAAATGATCCCAAGAAATAAAAACAAATTTGTTTTGCTCACAAGCTGCTGCAAAGCTAAGATCTTCGTGGTATCAGTAGTGAGCGCTCGGCGATTCCATACAGCCGCATACTGATCTAATTCGCCCAATTCAGAATAGAGTGATCGAAGATAGTCTAGTACATCCTAAAAAGGCTATCAAAATAAGTGGCATCAGTTGTAGGACAATTACAGACCAGTTGTTCTTGGAGTATCGGATCCAGCGGCTGCTGTGTGAGAGCAGCATTACCCAACATTCTTGGTATACACAAAGCCTGATTTTCCAAAAGCAGGATGCCTCGATGCCAGGCATGGTAATGATGGGCGACAAACTGTAAAAAGGAAAATAGAAACAAAAAAAAATTTTGATTTAGGGAACATACCTCAACAGGTCGAGCACCGATATGAATTGGAGGATTACATCGAGCAAAAGTTTCCAGAAAAATGCTAATCACTGGATGCACGGCATGTGCTTGCTGCACATGGACACCAGAAGTCATAAAGGGAACCGCTAGCCCTGAACGGATACTGTAGTGAAAAGGCGG